ATGGTGATATGTGCCTTTAAAATCTGTCATTGTTACCAATGAGATTGCTTAAAATTTCTTCTTCTTCTATTGCAAATGCTGCAACTGCTACTTATAGCAGTTGCAACATTTACTTATGAAACTAAGAATTTAATTTAAAGAACAAAGCAAAATATAGTGATATTCTCTGTCTACCTCCGTGAGAGAAATCTGTTTATAATACCATAGGAAAATTCTGAGTATTGTTTTATCAACTTAACTTTCAGCCCTCGTGGTGCTAGTAGATGTGGTAAATCTCATTATCACATTTACTAATTTCTCTAGTGGAAACCTAGTGTAATCCTTGTGTATAAAAAAACATTTCTGTAGTTATGAATCCCGCCTTTGGAATGGAGCAGGCTATGCTCTCCCATTGACAAGCAACGAATAAGTCAAAGTCAAAATTTCTTTATTCAACATAGGCTTATTTTAAGCTCTTATTGAACGTCAAAAACTACCACCGGTTTACTAAACTAGACCTGCAAGAGAAGAACCGGCAAGAAACTCTGCAGTCATATATTTATATTTTATTTCTATTTTTTTTAAGTATTTAAGTATACACACAAAATTATTTTAGTATAATTTAGCAGGAGCCAGGGGACTTGCAAGTGCAGAGCAAGAGTCATTTCCACACATCCTTGTCCTCAATGTATTCCTCGACATTATGATAATCCTTTCCATTAAGGTGGCTTTTACAAAATGTTTGAAATTATTTAAACTTAATTGTTTGTGGATGTCACCTATTCTATTATATAAGTTAATACATCTACCAAGAAACGGTTTCCTGGTTTTAGCTAGTCTAAACCTCGATATTTCCAACATGTCACCACGGCCCCGACGCGATGTGGTATGTTTTTTTGTAAAATGGTGTAAGTTATTTCGTACATACATGATGTTCTCAAGTATGTATAGCGACGGGAGCGTTAAGATGTTTATCTTTTTTAAAAATATGCCGAAGGGACTCACGTGGACCCAGGCCATAGACAGCCCGTATCGCTTGCTTTTGCAATACAAATATCGTGTCTAAACCGGATGCGGAACCCCAAAGTAAGACACCATAAGACATAATACTGTGAAAGTAAGCATAATAAACTAATTTAGCTGTTGCCTCGTTTGTTAGTTGCCTAATCTTGCGTATGGCAAAGACGGCAGCGCTGAGCTTTTTAGCTAATTTATCTATATGCGCTCCCCATTGCAACTTGGAGTCAATGCATATTCCAAGGAATGCCGTTGAATCCTCAAGAGGTAGGATGTTGTCATCAATAAAGATTCCTGGTTTGTGAGACAGCTTTGATAATGAAAATCTGATACATTTAGTCTTAGTGGCGTTCAAAAGTAAATTATTGGTCGCAAACCAGCCCGACACGACACTTAGTATTTCATTTGGTTGCTCTAATGTAACATCTTTCCTATTAACCTTAAACAACAGTGAGGTGTCATCCGCAAACAAAACGATTTGAGAACTTTTTTCTACCACATATGGCAAATCATTTATGTAGACTAAAAACAGAAATGGGCCCAGGATCGATCCCTGAGGAACACCCATTTATACTATTGATCCCGATGACAGTATTCCATTTATAGTTACTTTTTGTTCCCGATCGCTAAGATATGAGGAAACAAAATTAATGGCAGATTTTCGAATACCATAATATTCCAATTTCTTAATAAGAATCTTATGATCTACACAGTCAAATGCCTTGGAAAGGTCACAGAACACACCAATGGTGTCATGGAACGTCTCCCAAGACTGCAGGATATGCGAAATTAATTCTACTCCAGCATCAGTTGTAGATCTACCTTTCGTAAATCCGAACTGATGCTGGTTCAAGATTTCATATTTATTAAAGTGAAATAGTATCTGATCCAGCATGATTTTCTCAAATATTTTACTTAAGGCTGGTAAGATAGAAATGGGTCGGTAATTAGAGGAATTTTCTCTTGAGCCTGATTTATAAACTGGCACAACTTTGCTACATTTCATTAATTTTGGAAATTTGCAAGTATCTAAACCTAAATTAAATATTTGGGTAAATAAACAAGCAATATCACAGATTATAAGATCTAATGCACATATTGATACGCCCCATAGGTCTTCAGTTTTCTTTTTATTTAAATTTTTAAAAGTCTTAATAATATCATTCGGACCTATGTGGCAAAACTTAAAATCTGGAATGGAAATATTAACATATTTATCCAGATATGTTGCTGCCTCTGTGGGACAGTGTTGCAAATGCCTAGTAGTTTCAAAAGGTAGTAATAAGGCCATTGCTATAGGAGATACGCCTGTTCAAAAGTTCTACGAAGGCAGCGCAGTGTTTGTAAAAGGGGGCTCCGGTTTTCTCGGGAAACTGCTAATAGAAAAATTGCTAAGGTAACGAAATACAATTTAATTTTATGTTTATAACATTTTAGTAGCAAATAGTTATTTTTAAAATACACCTCTACTTCATTCATGGATGGATGTTTGTTACTCTTTCACGCAAATACTACTGAATAGATTTTAATGAAAATACTATAATATAGCTTATACATCAGAATAAGATATAGGCTACAATTTATATACATATTTTTATGTATATCTGTCTTTCTGTCTGAATGTTGCGCCTTCAGCCTACTCTACGTATTAGCCAATTCAAGCACAGCAAGCCAGCACAATTACTACATTACACCAAACTATCAACTTCACATCTGCTGCTTCATCCTGCTGCAAATTCTTTTTGTTTTTAATTTACATTTCTATTTAAAAAAAATAACATTCAATGCGATGTAATATAAAACAGCTGAAACTGCAATTATAAACAAATCCTATGGGCTTACTATCAGCAAAAGTTACTTGCTGCCAAATATGTAACATGTTACATTACTTGTTTTATTTTAAAGACATATTATACAATAACATCCAATCCTTGACCTATTGTTGCAGCTGATAATGGATACTTACAAATTGTATTAATTTCATTATTGAATGAATGAATGAATTAAATATACTTTATTGTACACTACGCCTGATATTGAATAATCAACAACAAAGAATAAAAATCTGTACAATAGGCTTCCTAGAAATTGGAGATTACTCTGGTATATTGTCAGGCGAAAATTGTTACGGCACGGTAATGTCATATACCCGTAACTCTTCACTGCTGTATGAGAAGAAGAATTAAATCGAAATTTAAAAATATACTAGCTGTCCCCCGCCCGCTTCGCTGGGTCACACCATCTTCTTTAAGTAAAAAAATATAGTTTACGTATAATTAATCACCAACACGCTACATATAATGATATAAGTATTATTCCCAACGGTTCAGGAATCGCAATATAACCGAACCTTTACTCGTACTTACGTGTAAAGCGTTCGATAAAAGCCGGTGCCGACTACAATTATTCAAATAAATGCAATTTTTGACGACCCGATTAGCGAAGTTGTATATATATACTTAAATTGTCATATTATAGACAAATACGAGGTATATAAGACATTGGCGCACCGAAACTGAAGCACTCAAATTACGCCGATTGGTGTTGCAACTCTATCTATAGTATAGACTGCTATCTTTCTCCGTATAATGTAAGGCGGAAAATTTTCAAACGTCACGCAGTATGGACATGTATCAACTTTATTAAAACGTAATTGTATTTAAACACGCAACTCCGTCGTCATTTTCATTGAAATTACCATAAAATACTTATTTACATAAGTTATGCAAACTCAATTATAATACGTAATTATCAGGAAATTTCTGTGACAACTAAAACTAGCCGGTTCATGTAAACGCCCAGCACGGATTAGGTGGGTAGTGTCAAATTCTTAAATAGTTATTTAATTTCGATACACTTCAGTGTTTACGGTATATGTGAAATTACAATTTCGGCTTAAAAAAAAGGTTCGAGTGTTTGTGGGCTACTAAATTTTCGTTAGCAATATTATTAACAGATACCTACCTACGTGGCAATAATAGTTATACAGACCACTGGGTAACATTTGTAGGCCATTGGACAAAAGCAAAACGTAAAGTATCTGCATAAATACTGTATTACAACGGATTATGCTAGGCTCTTCCACTGAAGTACTATGCCCTGACAGGAAGAAGCGAACCGGATGTGTGCATCGGAATCCATTAATGTTGCAATTAATATTTTACTTCATATCTCTCCATCAAAACAACACATTTGCTTTGCAAATCATTTATACAGTGTGTCGTTACAACCGCGACAATAAATGAACACACATATAGAGGATAACTTTTTAAAATTGTATTAAACATTTAAATTCTTTAAACGTCAATATTTACCGAGTTACTAAATTTTCCAAAACAAACAATTTTAGAACCCCTTACGGCATAGAACTGTAACGTAAAGTTCATTTGTAAATGGCACAAAGCACAATATGAATGAGTTGAATGAGTTTAAAAGAGATAAAACATACTGTTAGAAGGAGAGATTTGTAATGCGACACTGTGGCAACGAATGAAAGTCTCTGAATGTATGAATCAGTCAGTTGTGCTTGTATAGGATGTTACAAATTTTGTTTCTTTTTTATTTTATTAGTTTGTTCGAAAAAAAAAAATTTAATTATGATTTTTTTAACGTTTACATTTTTTATGATAATTGGCAAGTAGCGTTAGACGTGTGTTCATTTATTGTCACGATTGTAACGACACGCTGTATATTAAAATAAATAGAATTTTGAATTTCTGTCCTCTATGTTAATTCAAATGTAAGGTATGTAAGAAGACTTGCATTGAACTTAAATGCTATTAAAATAATGAAATATCATGTCTTTCATCAAATAGCTGTATTTACATAATTTCATCCTTTATTTTTACCTTTAAACATCTAAAGAGAAAAAATAATAATATAAGAAATATTACAAAATTACAAAAGAATTATACTTTGAATTCGTCAATTAGAATTTAGGGTCAACAGTTATAACATATTTGATTTCGACGTAAATATTTTTACAGTGTTAAACACAGCCTTTATTTGTGTGTCTCGATTGGAGTTAACATTGTTTCGAGTTTTTCTCGTAACATTGCGGCTTCCTCCCTCATTTCCTGCAAGCTCCTCGCTGGTTTTCTTGGGTGCGATGATACTCTGTAAAGATAAATAACATATAATTAATTTCCCATGTGTTCAGTGGTGGCCTGCAATAATATTTTCAAGAAAATTCTTGAAGTTTGCCAATTCGTAGTGTGACTAGTTGCCAATACATTCTGTACATATATATTTATAGCTATATGCCAACGTTTGTTAATAAATGCACTTTTAGACTTTCTACTGTCTTTAATATTTAACAAATCATAAAGTAAATGAATTTTTCCAAATAAGTGGAAAGATGCTCTAATATTGTATCAATAGAGGTAGAGTCGGCAGAACAGGCGAATCATGTTATAAACGGTTTTGGTTATGATTTTTACGTCCAGCCGCCTGCCTGGCATCCACCCTCCTTGGGAAACAGGCAGCCAGATCCGGTACAATTATCTGTGGGTCACACAAATACTTGTCTCGTGTGGGAATCGAACCCACGAGCCCTGACACCGAAGGTAATAGCTCAGCAACGTCCCCGCCGAGCCAATCTCAGTATAACACATGTATACAATTTATTCCTAATGAAAGGTTCCACAGTAACAAATGTATTTACTTTAATGCACTTATCCATGTATTCAGGTAGATGTATTATAAAATGACTTGGGCAAATGTTTCGATTGAATCAACCATGATAAATTTTAAAGTTAAAAAATCTTAGTATACTCGGCGACACCAGGTTCGGTGGCTTACCGTATTTGAAATAGGTGACAATGTGTAAAGAAAATGGTATTTACATCCGGATAAAGCTTGAATATCACCTAGTATCAAAGTTCATTACAGGGTCCCCTATTTTTTCATATCTATATATACGACAACATCCGCCAAATTAGTTTGGCGGATGTTGTCGTACAGTCACTAATGGTCATATATTTTAAACATATATCTTGATATGTATATATTTATAATATATGTATGTATGTTTATATATATATATATATCTTATGTGTATATGTCTATCTTATGTGTTTATCTATATATATTATGTGTATATGTTTATATCTTTGTATTGTATATGGTGTGCTACATAAAATAGTTTTATATAATATCTTGTATATTCTGGAGTTATATGACGTGTAATGCATATATTATTATTTAAGACACATAAATTTATTATGCAATTTTATTTATTGCACCTACCACGATTTCTCCTCACGCCCCGGGTTGACTGGTAGAGAATGCCAATAGGCATTAAGTCCGCCCTATGTAACCCTTTTGGGGTGTTTTCAATAAAGAATAAATAAATAAATAAAAATAAATAAATCTATAATGTAATGTAAGAGCCTATATACATATGTCTCACTGCTGGGCAAAGGCCTCCTTTGTACAGAGGATATCAGGGCATAGTACACCACGCGGCCCCACTGCGGATTGGCGGACTTCACATATATTCAAAATATTTTTTTTTGTTATTTCGAAAATATGCAGGTTTCCTCACGATGTTTTCCTTCACCGCTGAGCACGTGATAATTCGGCGCTTAAAATTAACAATTGGTGCCGGCACCGGGGATCTAACTAAGGTTGCTCGAGTATATTGAATTAAAGGCGAGCGCCCGGACACTGATCTATCACGGCTGTTGAGCCAACACGTTGAGCTTTTCACATTTATTTATATGATATTGCAAATTATTTTCGTCACGCTGTACCTTTTGGACTGTAGTGAAATGATCAAACTGTACAGCAAATTTCAAACAAAAATCCGATGGACGGAGACACGTCAATTAAACCACTTTTCATAACAACCGTTTTGATATTGAGCACGCCGTCGGAATCCTTACATCCTCACTATCCTTACTAATATTATAAATGCGAAAGTTTGTATGTATGGATGGATGTTTGTTACTCATTCAGGCAAATACTACTGAATGGATTTTAATGAAACATAACAATAATATAGCTTATACTTCAGAATAACACATAGGCTATAATTTATATATATAGTTTTATATCTGTCTTTCTGTCTGAATGTTGCGCCTTCAGCCTATTCTACGAAGACGTAGTCGCGGGCAGCAGCTAGTTGGGAAAAAAGGCGCCGCGGCGCCTTTGTTTAAAAAAAATATATAAAAAATATGTACATACCATTTCTTTGGAAATCTATTTTGAAAATAAATCAAATATGTAATAGGTTTCTGGGAATCGACAAACGAAATCACGTAACAATTGCGTGAGTCACTAGTAACGTTTTGGATCACCGTTGTTAGTCACACTTTCAATGACGAAATGGTAATGAAAGTAATTAGCTAATTGCATTTAATTTATACCATTATTAAGTTCAGACTTTGTAGTTGTTATAATGATCACTACTTTCATTGAATCGCAGAGTGACCTTGGGTGATTTTTGTCAGTGCGCCGGTTTGAATCCACGTGCAACAATCGCTGTCCAAAGTCTATATTCAGCGCATGGTGGCACAATTAGAGGCCTATCCATCTTAAAATTCTTTTAACAGCATTTTTGTTTGTTTAAAACAATGTTTCAGTACTTGTCGTGTTTCGCTAGCTCCAGATAGATGTGGTCGTTTTCTAGGAAGTCGCCTTTCTTCCTCGGCAGTATGTGACAGTGGAGATGCTGTTGAAATGAGAAAAGAAATTTTCTAATTATAAACACGTATGCAAAAGTTATCAGTTGTTTTAAATTCGATTGCATTATTAACAACTCCGAAGTGGCAAACAATTTCACATTAGAATATAAAAAATTTTATGGTCGAAAAAGCTATTAGAGTTGTAACTGAAAGCTTATTGTATGATAAGTTTAAAGGCCCATTTACACGGTGCAAGTTTCTTGCCTGTTATATACAATTAAATTGAAGCAATAAATGAGTTGCATTGTCTAAACAGCACATAACATTCTTGACTGTTGAACAAGACTTGCTTCAAGTTTTGTTTCAAAACTTTTATTGGTGTAAACAGCACGCACAATAATTTCTTAAGCAATTCTTGTATTCAATTGCATTCTCTCTTCCTTTGCGAAAATTAGTGCAATGAGTGAGGGTATTTAATCGTTGCTGTTCTTTTGAGGATAGAAATATTGAGAAAAGGTCGTAAAAAAAGTTGGATAAAAATATGAATAATAATATATCTGTGCCTCCTGTGATCAGTGATACAATTCGAAAATTAACATTTTACAGGAGAGCAAAAACAAGATTTAAAAAATTCTAGTCCATAAAGTGGATAGACTAGGACAAATCTTTGTACACACTCATATAGATTATAACATTCTCTTTCATCCTGTATTACAGTTTTGTTAAAAAATTATATAATTTATCAGTAATTCGAAAAAAACATTTGAATTGTACCTCTGTATAGGAAAATATTGGCAAAGTAGATGTGTTACATGATATAAGTAGAGTTAAACCATGTTGCACCTTATTATAGTCTTTGTGAAAACTGATATACGTGTAGTATAAAAACAAAAATAACTCATTAGAATCTCTTCCTATCATCATTGTTTAACCAAATAAAAAATAAATGAAACATCTAGATTCATTTTTTATAGTGTATATCCCCCTGTTGTGATAATTTATTTGAATTGTATCAGTTAGCTAAAATCCTCGTGATTTGAAACATGTGTTATATAATACAAGTCAAATTATACCTGACTTGAAAATTATATTGATTGTGTAAATTAATACAACTATTCAACAAATAATAAAAAAAAATATTGTACCTCTCCTAAATTATTCTTATCTCATGATTACCTTAAAAATTTATAAATTATATATCTAGGATCGGTCATAGCAGATATCACAATAGGTACCTTTCAGTACTTACAGGATATTATGATCATTATCTTAATCCTAAATAGATTAATAAACATAGAGAAATTAACAAATACAACAAAATCTTCTTATACTTCTATAGGCACCTTATCTATGAGTAAAATGACCTTTAGACGTAAACCTAAAATAAAAGGAATAAATAAGGACAAAATCAGGAAATACTTATAAAAATCAGTCGACAGATTTGTTATTAACACTGAATGTTAATAACAAATCTGTCGTTTTCGTAAATCATATTCTATAATCGACTATCTAATCTACTCAGAATCATCGTCATTGTCCGGAAGAGAGTCTAACGTTTTTTTTTTATGCAAAAAGGAGGCAAACGAGCATGCGGGTCACCTGATGATAAGTGATCACCGCCGCCCATGGACAGGTTGAGTCGGTTGAGTTGACATCAGTTGAGTCGCAATTTCGTTGCCGGCCTTTAAGGTAGGATCGAAGTTAGGTTAGTAGTTAGTAAGGTTGGCCGAATCTGTGCTTTATAAAGCTGCAAACGATGTGCCGGTAGGAAATACTGTCTCACTCGGTTAGGGATACCGAGTTTTTTAGAAGCCAGCTTGGCTTTTCCTTCCAAATGACCGCGATACAGTCACTCTTACAGTTTATATTTCTATGAAATTCTTGAGCTCTTTCATGGCTAATAATTGTACTAGATCCTTCTTCTTTTCTGTTGAAATGGGAATCTTGGAATGGTAAGCTTTTGGTACCGTATAAATTCCTACCATATAGTACACTTTACCGCGTTTCAATAAATTCATTCATGTTTCCACCGTTCTTGAGCCCTATTTTGTAAGAAATACAAGGAAAGTTGCCTTAAAGATACATAATCGATATGACATCAGACTACAGAAACTTTTTAATGTCTGTAGTTGTTCTGGTAAGGTTAAAAAAAAGACCGAAGTCGTAAAACATATTCAGAGTCATTTCAATCACAGTAAACTTTGCAGATTTATTTGAAGCTGTGCAGATACTGGATCTACCAATCTCTTGGCAGATGAATATCTATGCCCGTGTGCTTCTTTTTATGCTCAATCAGCGCATGGTCACTGTCTGCTTCCATATCAGTATGGCTAGGTACTAGAAATTTATGTTCGATGTATTGTAATTGATATCAGGTATTAACTTTTCTAAGTTACTCGCATAAAGTCTGAAGATACTTGTCTTGTGGTTTTTGTCAAGTCTTCAAAAAACATCCTTTACAAATTGCTTGTTTTGTTATGATCAAACCCGTGAAAGAAGTATCGAAAAAATCTAGCGTTCCGTTTTTTCTTGGGATATTTGGACGTCTTTTTTTGAAATTCCAAGACTCTAGTATGTTTTGAACAGAGTGTTCCTTAAATGAAACGGTAGTCTCTCTTTGCATTTCTGACGATAGTTGTTTAGATCACGTAAGGCACGAGTTCTTCTTGTTTTTCCTGATGTTGTTGTATATTTCAAGGCGTTACGAAATAGTTTATTTATGTGAGAAGGCACGCGAGCTGTAGGTTCACGTTATGTTAAGTGATAGATAGCCACTGGTTATGGACATTTGCAACTTCTGTAGTGTTGCAGATGCGTTGCAATATTTTAATAAAGAGGGCTGTGTCAGTCACTTCACTCCCACACATAACCGCCACCCTATTATACATACATCATATTATAATGGTACAAATTAAAACAAGGTGTTGTTTTAATTTGTATCATTTTACACTAAAGTTCGTAGTAAATACTTTTTAGAAAATGTTTGCATTTCCGATACAACTCAATTTATTTTAGTGTTCAGATAAGGATAGATATTGTGTGGAATGATGTATGTTGAGATGTATCATTCAGCACAAAAGTAGGCGAAATTAATATTCAGATCGGTAAGTACATGTCAAGTTGTACCCTGCAAATAACAAAATAAACTTAGGTTCAAGTTGATGTAACTGGAATAAAATTATTATTCACGAAATATCATTAGAAAATCAAATGTGAAAATTGATATTATAGTAATTATACCACAAAGTACGAAAAAAAATTGTGGAGTGATACTTTACTGGTGCTATATCACGACTAAAATCAAAATTCACGATATTTTCATCCAAAATCCCATTAGTTATATCACTTTGCACAAAATTATCTCGAGATCTATAGCAGATAGAAACACGTGAGTAAGACCCAAAGCTAGCTTATTTTTTACTGATTGTTTATGTGTTAAAATCAGAAAAAGGGTACAACTCGAGTTGTATCACTGATCACAGGAGGCACAGATATGGATCATAATAAATAAATCTCAATGAAATATATTTAATCGGCATAATCTAACTTGAACACTAATTATTGAGCCATTTTTTTAAAAAAACAGTCCTTTGTAAAACGTTCATCACTTGCATGAAAAATTTGTCAACGCAAATACGTGCAATACTTGAAGCAACACGCCAATAAATTGTACACGCACATACAAGCATGTGTTTAGACAAGTCAAAACTTGAAAGCAATAATCGCCTAAACATAATTGCATTGGTGTAAACAAAAGACATTTGCAATTATTTCTTGTCAATACTTGCATTCAATAATCGCATTAAATTTTTTTTACTATATCTGCGTGTAAACTGTTGCTTACAATTCTTGATGGTCAATTATTGCGTGCAACTTATTGCATTCAATTATTGTTCTTGTATGTACAAGAAAATGGCATCGTGTAAATGGGCCTTAAATCGTATGATAAGTTGAGTTGAGATGAGTTTATTAGAAATATTTGAGGGAGGTCCATGTTCAGGAGTGGACTTAAACAGGCCGAAATGGTGATGATGCCGGTCAAGTGCGAGCGGGACTGGCGCGGAGGGTTCCGTACCATTATCTGTAAAACCAAAAAAAAAAAAAATACATAGGGTCTCGTTTTACCCTTTAGGTAAGGAACCCTAAAAATCACCTTAACGGTTTGTCCGGCTTCCGGTCCGTCTTGAATGGTCACCGTACACGAGTTCGCACCGTGCACCGTCTCCATCAACTGTAAAGTTATTTAGAAATTTTAATAATACGAAAATAATAAATATAAAACGAAATTTCAAACAACTTTCAAGGTTTTTGGTTTTAAGAAACAGCAAGCGAGATGGCGGTTCACTCGATGCTAAGTGATATCCGCCGCCCGTGGACATTTCCAACCACCGTAGGGTTGTAGATGCGTTGCGACCTTTCGATTAAGTGGGCCCGGTTACCTCACTCCCCAGACGAAACACCGATTTTCTATCAGGTCGTGGTTCTTTCCCGGACGGACCTGCCCATTCGTGCAACAGCGAAGATTATTGCGTGGTATTACCATTTTTTATAGGTTGCATTTGCAACCCTTCAAGTGTGTGGGTGGCGATAATCACTCAACAGGTGAACTGCCTGATCTACTAGCCAACTTTTTACTTTATATATATAATTACCCGACGGCGCCAGAAGGAGGGTTATGTTTTTCGAGAGTACGTATGTACGTATAATGGTTTGGCACGCCCTGCAGCCTGAACGGCTTGATGGATTTTAACTTGAGAGGTGTCGTTAGATTCGTTTTTACTGACATGAGAGTGACACTGGATGTATCAAAATAAAAAAAATTACACAGATTCGCCGTCGGGTTTTATAGTTTTTCAAATTATATTCTACTTGTATTCTGGTTGTTTAATACACTCTCTAAGACAGCTGTAAACAATATAATCAAACTTTTACACCTTCTGAATCAAGCGGGCGGTTTTGAAGAAGTCCGCGGCCTCCTCATCAGTGAGGTCTTCGTTCCTTTCGGCCAAACGCAATGGCGCTACGAGAACGTGGCCTGGTGTGACGCATCTGTAATAAATAGGGTTATAGACGAATACAGAACGACAAAAAAACAAAACCGACATACAAATCTCACTAGCTAAAAAACATGTTCATCACAAAATGTTGCTCCAGTAGTGCAGAGTTACGATCCGAACCGCACCCTCTGGCGAAGTGTTTTCGTTTCTCCATTCAATAAGCCAACCGGTTCGTCGATTATGAAATTTAACAAGGTATGGTACATAATGGAATTATATACAGCGTGTCGCTACCATCGCGACAATAAATGAACACACGTCTAACGCTACTTGCCAATAATCATAAAAAAATATTAACGTTAAACAAAATCCATAATTAAAAAAAGATATTTTGCAAACAAACTAATTAAGTAAAAAAGAAACAAAATTTGTAACATCCTATACAACTCGCGCCACAGCGTTGCATTACAAGCCTTTCCGACTAACAGTATGTATTGTCTCTTTTAAATTCATTCAACCCATTCATATGCTTTGTGACCTTTACAAATGAACTTTACGTTACAGTTTTATACGTAAGAGTGTTCTAAAATTCTGTTTTATAAAATTTAATAACTCTGTAAGTATTGATGTTTAAAGAATGTAAATGGTTAATCCAATTTTAAAAAGTTATCCCCTATATGTGTGTTCATTTATTGCCGCGATTGTAAAGACACGCTGTATAAGTCAACACCACATCCTTTCCAGTTCAAAAGCTTGTGTAAATTCCAAATTGTAATTGTGGGTTAGTAGGATGGAACTGTAAGATATACTAACTCCACATTTGAACAATTTTCTAATATAGCTGTGAAGAGTTTCATGAATATGACAACCTTGTCTTATACCCTTCTGCAGTTGGATAGGCTTTGTACTAGACTGTAGCCTTGTTATAAAAACACCTCAGCACCTTGATATACAGACTCGAAGGCTTTCCCATAGTCCACATAAGCCAGCCATAAAGGTAGATTATACTATTCGGTCTTCTAGTAGATGTGGTGGTTTCTTTATGGTACTGAAGCCTTTTAATAATCTGGCTTGTACGAGAGAGGAAGAGAGACGATTCAAGATGACTCTCGAAACTTGCAGTTGCTCTCGAAGTTGTCAAACGAGCAGACGGTTCACCTGATGTTAAGTGAATACCGCCGCCCATAGACATTTGCCACACCCGAGGGTTACAGAAGCGTTGACAACCTTTTAAAAACTGGGCTCCGGCTACCTCACTCACCAGACGAAACGCGAAAGTATTTGTACTCACAGAAGACCAGCGTAAAGTACTTCCACTTTACGCTGGTCTTCTGTGAGGTCGTGGTACTTACCCGGACGGGCCTGCCCATTCGTGCAACTGCCGAGGCTGCTGCATGTCCCTACCACCGTTGAAAGCTTCCTTGTAAACAGCAAAATCACACTTCTGCTACATGTCTCTTGCGTAGCACTGTCCTAAATGGTATGGTTCCACTGAAAACCAGCATTCACGAAGTTTACTTACTCCGTGAACTCATGCTGAGTGGAAACCTATTTAGAGCATGTACATTGTATTTCTTTTTATTGTAAATATTTTTTGTAAACGATTTATTTATGCACCAAATAAACTTTTCTTTCTTTCTTAAGGACGCAATTAAATAGCTTCTGAAGTACCACAAACACCGGTTCTCCTCTGATCTTTCGGGATTTTATATGGTTATTTCGGGATTTTAACAGTGGTAGGCCCACGCAATACCTTACTGTTGCTCGAATGGGCAACGTGTTAAGACATTGTCCTTCACCGTACGAGGAAGCTCACAGTGCCTCCGCGAGATAGCTTTACTCGATATTTCTCTACGTGATAGGGTTCACAATGAAGATATCCGCATTAGAACAAAGATAACCGACATAGCTCTGAAGGTAAGTAAGCTCAAGTGGCAATGGGTAGACAATAAAGAAACGCCAAATATTATGAAGGATATCAATAATCTCGTAATTATATATTATTTTTAAGAGGTGAATATTTTTTTCTTGACGATAAACACACTATAATATAAACACTAATAAGCTCTCAATAAAACCGAAACTATCTCTTTAAAATGAGGGGCGCATCACCTCAAGTTGACGAAGGCGTAGGTCAGCCTGGACTTGTAGAAGACGCAAGACTCCGGCACCCTCGCCGTGCCGAAGACGTACGTCGGCTCGTCCACTGTCGAGTCCCGCGTTCGGCCCTCGGCGGATTCGCACGCGTGGGGGGCGCTGGTGTGCTCCGGTAACAGCTTGTTTCGCAGACTAAGCGTGTACAGCGAGTAAATGTCCGTTCTGCGATGAATAAAATTGGCCGTCATGATAGACGTTTGGGAATTGCGTTATACATAAAGCTTCGTCGGGCACACAGCTCGTGGAATAGCTACGTTTCCAAGAGATTGGTGGTTTTTTTGTACTTTGCGTGGAAGGGGTTGGATAGTAAGTCCCAACGACCTCTGCGATTTACATATCCATACCCATATCCAAAACAAGTACATGTGCGTAACACAAGTAGTGTCGTGATAGCTCAGTGTCCGTTCGCTCGCCTTTAATTCAATATACTCGAGCAACCAGAGTTCGATCCCCGGTGCCGGCACCAATGAAATTTTTAATTTTAAGTGAGAGAACCTGGTGGCGTGGAGTCATCGTTATAGCTTGATAGATCCTATCTAAGCATAGTTGCTTGTTGTGAAACAAAATTGATGCATTCTCATTTGATTACATTACTGCGGCATTAGTCGTCTTGGCGACAGAATTTAAAATCACGATTCAATCGCAATCTCGTACATTACTACGGTTGTTGAATGAAAGAAGTATTAATAACGTAACGAACTAAAGTAATTGACTGAAGTAAGTCCATTACAACATTATTTTGTTTATTGTTGCTGTGTTATAAAGTATTATAAAATTTATATTGTATTGTACACAATTGATTTCATTTTATTGTAATGTAATAGCCTATGTCAATTTTAAAGACTATACACATCAATTTGTTTTATTGCAATAGAAATTTATCGGTATATAAGAATAAATCCGTATTTCATTATTTATCAGTGATGAAACTAAATTAATTTTTACTGACGTCGAATATCCGTTTGTTAAAAAACACAACGCTATATTCTTATGACTGAAAAGCTTCATTAATAAAGAAAAGTAGACGAAATATACTTACGCCCGGTATCTGAAACACTGATCATCGTAGATGTCAACTAATCAGCCGTCAAATGGCTTTTCAAATTTCATTTTAGTCGCCAAAAGGACGGTTAAACTCTCTGAATTGACCAGAATGATCTTCTAATGATCAGAACGATCAATCCAAAGAGTTTAACCATCCTTTTGGCAACTAAAATGAAATTTGTAAACCATTTGACAGCTGATTAGTTGACATCTACGATGATCAGTGTTTCAGAAACCGGCCGTTAGTTTCAATAGTTAACTAACGCAAAATGTTAACTCACCTTCGATGCTGAAAAACGGGCATATTCCGTCTGACATCGGCCAGCCTGTCGGGCGACATTTCGACGACTTTATAGCAGGGGGCCGACTCCCCGCAGTCGGCTAGGACTTCGCCCCAGGGGTCCACGACAAGCGCGTGCCCGAAGGAGCGCCTCTTGGCGTTATGGTGGCCGGTTTGCGCTGCCGCTATCACGTAGCACTGATTCTCGATGGCTCTGGCCCTATACATTATGTTGATGGAACTTCTACATCCTACGAGACATGTTACTAGAACGCATGTTCTGCTCTTGAAGAGCCATGCAACAATTTTTGCTGTTGTAGAGTTTGAACGTGCAGGCAGACTCGTCTGATTAATTCCGCGGCCTCACTAATAAATAAAAAGACATTTCAGGACATATTTACACAATGTTATCTTTTTTTTTTTTTTTATGCGAAAAGTTGTCAAACGAGCAGACGGTTCACCTGATGTTAAGTAAATACCGCCGCCCATGGACATCTGCTACACTCGAGGGTTACAGATGCGTTGACAACCTTTTGAAAATTGGGCTCCGGCTACCTCACTCAGACAAAGCTTGTACTATGGGTCTGTAGACAACTGACAACAGCCGAGGCTGCTGCTTTAACACTCGTATCATATCTAGTTAAGCAAAGCTTGTGATTAAATAACACGTTTTGTGTATACGTATTATAGATTTAAATAGAAATGAATCCAGACACTAGAAAAACACATGTTCATCACACAAAATTTTCCAGTAGTGGGATCGAACCCACACCTTCTGTCGCAAGAGACAGGGTCACTGTCCAATTGGGTCTCACTGAAGACCTCAGCAGTGTCCGAAAGTTTACATGTTGAGTAAGCTAGTAACTAACCAGATAAAGAGAAGAATAAACACTTACAATTATACCAGTTTTATTATTCTATATTGTTTTGTATATAATCTGCCACATGGGACTACAACAGTAAATTGTAGATATGTATATCAACATAAGAATGGCATGGTAGCAGTGAAAAATTCAAATAACCTGAGAAGTAGATGCCAATGTGCCACACCAGTGGTGTAAGTGAATGCCGACGGGTAAGTTAGAATGTCTGATCTCATGGAACCGAGTGCTGTGCTTAGCTCCGGGAAACGCATGTCGTAGCATATCGCCAGTCCTGCGCAAAAAAGTAAATTAACAATATTTTGAAAACAGAATTCGAGGGTAGCATTTATAAAAAAAAGAAAATGTACTTATTTTTAAAGTAAAATTCAGCAAACACAAGTAAACAAATTTTTATGAAACTTTACAATAATATAGTTAATACATCAGAATAAAACACCTAAGGCCAAATTTATATACATATTTTATGTATATCCAGTCTTTCTGTCTGAATGTTATGTCTTCAGCCTATTCTACGCAGACGTAGTCGCGGGAAGCAGCTAGTTCTAAATAAAATAATAATTGCCAATACTTCTCTGCATGTTAAAATTGTAGAGTGAAACTACTGCAAATGTCTAATTTCAATATTTAAAGGTTTTTGATTACAGCAATGGGCTTTGATAAATTTCAAAAAAAGTATCAGCCTATAGGTGTCCCACTGCTGGGCAAGGGCCTCCTCTGTACAGAGGGTATCAGGGCATAGTCCACCACGCGGCCCCACTGCGGATTGGCGGACTTCACATACCTATCTTCGAAATATATATTTTTTTATTACTATTTCAAAAATACGCAGGATTCCTCACGATGTTTTCCTTCACCGCTGAGCACGTGATAATTCGGCACTAAAAATTGACAATTACATTGGTGCCGGCACCGGGGATCGAACTCAGGTTGCTCGAGTATATTAAATAAAAGGCAAGCGCCCAGACACTGAGCTATCACGGCTCAAATTACTACTTGAAAAACTAATTCGAAAATAATAAACCAATTTCCTTTTCAGAAATACATACCAATTCTACCAACAGGTGTATCCACAGGGGTAACTACATGACTACCAGGAATGGTAAAATCGCTTTCCTTCAAACGTACATTCTTTTCTGGAATCTCTACATCAAATAAGTGCAACTTTCTGTATGTCTGTACTATTTCACCAGTATTGTCTATGATGACATGAGTATTAAACATTTTTGTGGGGCTGTTTTCATCCTAGAAAATAATTGTAAAGGCAAAAATTGAAGCTAAGTTTCACAAACACTCATTAACACCATACTAGTATTTACATATAAATAAGTATTAAATTTTTGATTAATTCTTACATAATTATTTACATATATAATATCTATACTAATATTATAAATGCGAAATTAAGTCTGTCTGTCTCTCTGTCTCGCTTTCACGCCAAAACTACTAAAGCGATTTAAATGAAATTTTGTACACAGATAGTCTAGAGCATGAGAAAGGACATAGGCTTTTATAATGGGAAAAAAAAGTGTTGTAAAGGTAGTATTGTCATTGTAAAGTATTATCATTGTCAGAACAAGAAGCATAAAAGTTATATTTTAGGCTGCTCATTAAATATAAATAAATATGGCATTCAAAGTTTGTAAAAATGATACCACGAGGATGAAGACGCGTGCACAGCTAGTAAACTATAAACCTAGTAAACTTGTGTCCTATAACATGTTTGTTTTAAAATAATTAAAAGCAATTTAGTAATACTTTAGTTAATTATTATTAATAATAATTTAGTTTAGGCAGTGCAGAAATAACTTGAATCATCATCATTATTTCCACTTCTGAACATAGGCCTCCCCCAGAGCAGCCATGTAGTCGCGGGCTTGTAGAATAGGGCAAAGGTATTCCCTGCCTGTCATAAAAGGACTAGAAGAGGACACGGATTGGCAGCAGCTTGAAGTGGTCTCGAGCTGCTGCAAGATGGTGAGGGAACCGGGGAAGCTATCCTTCTCCTGGGAGTGTTCACGCGCAGTACTGAGGGACACCGGTGCATTCCGTGTGAGGTCCCGGAGTCCCTCCAAACGTACAGAGGGTGGCCACCGAGGGGGTTTTAGTGGGTAAGAACCTCACATAACTCTGTCGTGTAACGTGACAGGGTATCATTGGAAGATTTCCCCCCCAATACCAAAAAAAACGCCCCCAGAGACTGCCACGAAGTACTAACTTGAATACATTTAATTATTCTTACAATCAACAGCAATTACCATAATGATTCTGCTTTAAATTGAGCAAAATTTTCAACATTAATTCTCTAATAATGTGCTCTGTGTTAATTCACAATGCAGCAATATACAGGGAGGCTTTTCTAAAATCTAGACATAAATAATGTTATATAAAAATTGCTCTTGTAATTAATTAATTATTTTCATTTGAACTTATCTCAAAATATGCATGATTTATGGGCAACTCATTAATTTTATGCACAATCATTCATAACTAACACGCACATAAGTTCATTTCAAAATTATACAATGCATTTATGAATGACTACCGCATTGTCAACAAATTCTATGGTTTAGGGAATAGAATGGCAATTTAAAAAAAACAGTTTGTTTTTATTTCAACAAACGATTATAGTGGCGAGTCTGAACCTCCCATGTGAATTTGGGCAGCTTTAGAAAAGCCACCCTGTATATAAATTTGCAAAAATAATAATTTGATGGTGAATTAATAAATAAAAATTATATTACCTTTTCATGCACTCCTCCCATAGATAACCATACATTATATTTAGCAGCCAATTGTCTATAGTTTTGAACAGTATCACCTGTAAGTAAGGGCTCTGCAAAATTGAGTGTATCCTGTTTATTGTCACACAAATAATCACATGCTTCAGGAAAAAATAACATCTGAAAACAACAGATTAATTCATTTAGTTATTATTCTTTTATTATTTAGACAGCCACTTTTTATTACTTATAAGCTGTAAATTTAGGCAATAATTAAGAATTTCTAAAGGCCTTTTAAAATTTAAACCATATGAACAAGCAACAGTGAAGATGGAGCGAAAAAGAATCCACAGTATTACCTGAACTTTATCCTGAATGGCATCACTTACAAGCTTAGTGATAACTTGCAAGTTCGAAGCCTTGTCTGCAACGGAAGTCATTTGACACACTGCTATTCTTTTAGGACCCATATTTAAATGGGAACAGTGACGAACAAACTTTACATTTAATATCCTATAAAGTATTGCAGCCCATTGCTGAAAGAATAAGCGTAATTTTTATATGACATGGTACTGTTTTCTTGTTTTCAATGTAAATATTGATCTAGAACATTCAACATTCTCGTCTTATCATTGCACATTTGTTGATTCACAAGATTACAGTACTTTTATAATTTAAGCAAATAACTAACCCGAAAAATAATGTAGAAATATAACCGCTTTATATATATTTCAGAGTTAACTCACTTTTAACGAAAGAAACTTACCCGCATGTTATTTGATTCTGTTGCTTATATTATAAATACATTACTTTCTTAAATTAATTATTTGTATTTATTTTGGTATCATAATATATCCCCACCAGTGTATTGTTTGACTTTTTGATCTTCTTCTTTTTATCAACAGCTTGCTATGTGAGTTATAACAATTCCGCAAGTTGTTAATTCAAGTTGTTAATCAATTTATTTAAAAATTATTGACTGTACTGTGTACATGATTGATAAAATAATCTTAAAGGTATTTTGATTTTTGATCATAATATTCTTAATCTTGCAAGGTTTTAATTTTCATACTTTTTTGACAATTTTGATATTGTTGCAACTATCTTTAATTTATTAAAATCTCAAACACACAAAACATTTTTTTTTAATTTTTAAGCTTTTTATGTAAATTTTTGCCTCATTATGAAACTTTTTAAATCTTGCTTAGTTTTGCAGTAAGTTATTTTGGTATTTGTATTAAAATATAGTTAAAGAATAAACATTTTTATTAAATTAATTCATTCATAAATTGAAGACATTACATTCTTATAGGTATAGGTTATGGGCACATTATTTATCGTGGCACCAATCAATCTTTCAGAAATTATTATAATACTTGTAACAGAATAATATTACATTAATGGAAAGGAAGAACATAATATTAAATATGTAGCAACACATGTTTTAGCTTTGTTCTCTGTCATCTGTGGTCGCTCTACTCTATCTCTCAAAGCTCTGCTAATAATCGCTGTCTCTGCTGTGCTGTTGTTGATTAAATGCCTAACTATCTGTTTTCACGATTATTAACGTTTTCTGTTCGACCGTCACTTCTGTTTCAAACTTTATTGTTATTAATTCCACCATTAATAGGGACACAGTGTCTTACTTAACGATTTAGATAATGAACGCTTTTTGGAATAGAAAAAAAAATATCTGAAATAAGAAGTAGGATTCTTCTAAATTCGTGAACATGTGATTATAAATGTAAATAATTAATAATGTATTTTGTGCAAAATGGACGTGAAAGTTTCTAGTAGTGGAAGTGATGTGAAGTGACTCTTTTTTGATTGTTTACTGTATGTGTCGGATTTTTCTTTTGGTGAAGACCAAGCAAGCTAACGTTTGAGCATTTACCACAGCTTTAGCTCGAGTCTAAAAAAGTAAGTTTATTTTTAAAATCCTAATTAAGAAGTATAATATTTTCTACCCTCTGCGAGATAAATGATAAATATTCTGTTATCATCAAACATTTGTCTCCAATATGGGCCTGCAAATGTATGACTCATGACACAATGTACTGTTTTTTATTGATTATTTTTGTTTGTATACAATTATTTGATAATATTATTGCACCTTTAATTTTAATCGCCATTTTTGTCATTTCGTAGTTTTGGTTTTAATATTATTAATGAAAATGAAATTATTTTTTTTTCTAAATATTTAAATTGTTGTTGAATAACAAATATTATTCCATGATTCTACTACTAACTGATAATTTATAAGTAACAAGTCTATCAATTGTAATTGCTAAACTTTAATTATTATTTATAAAGTTCAAGCTGTCTAATAAATTAGATTCAATTACAATATTTCTACTGTACACATTTTTCGCACTTAATGTCTCTAATAGACCATTTTTACATTCATTATTTTGTTTAAAATATTGGGATAGTAGGAAATACATCCTTTATATTTTTTATGAATCACCTGTTGTTAGTTAATATTTTATTCTAGCTATCCTGGTTTCTCTACCAAGAATTGCTGTTAAACTCTTTTTTGGTCTCAGCTCTTACCTCTTAATAATAATTGTCAATTTACCTATGTATAAAATTAATAATTTGAAGTTTATGGAGGTGTTCTGTATCTTATGGCCAAATCTACATTGCTACAGCTTCATAAATTTGCTACTGCATAATGCAGATTTGGAGGCTGATGTTGTGATTTTAAATTTATCTGATCAGAAATATATTTCTGTCAAACAAACACAAAATGTAGATAAATATATATATATATATGTAGATAAAGTTCATAAGATGATTATATTTTTTTATTAAACCCCACTTGTGCTCTTGTATCTGATATGATCTGTATCTTGTTGATATTATAGATATAATAATATGGAAAACCCTTAAGTGGTGTCTTACTAATGGGAAATGTGATTGGGACTAGTGTAGATTTCTTTAGGTACCTCATGTACCAACTTGACAATCAAAGTTTTACATTTCATTAATAAATAGTCACTTGGATTCCTGTCCAAAAAATAGCTGATTAATTCCCTTAAAAGGTGAATTTATCTGCCCATCAATTATTATTTACTTTATTTACATTAGTTATTTTCCAATTTTAGTATAGATCCTAGTACTCATCATCATCGTCACTTCACCCTGGTAAAGTCCACTACTGAACATACATCCTGAGTCACCTGCATCTATGAACTTCCTGCAGACTTGTACAGGTTGTCACTCCATCTAGTGGAGTCTACACTGCAATGTCCAGTACTAGGCTGCCACTTGAGAATTTTTTCCCCATCAGTTATTGGTTCTACAAGCTATATAGCCGGCCTATCGCCAATTCAGCTTCCTAATCTTCTGAGCTTTGTTTGCATTCATTTATTATTAATATAAATTCATTTCTTGTAGAAATTAAAAATTATATAGAGCTAATCTCTGCACTTGAGATTAACCTTTAAGCATGCGAGCGGTTATTTGTAACAGCAGCGGTCGACAAGAACGGTCGAAAAGACCTATGGGATATATTATATAAATATAACAATAATTAATCAATATACATTCATTTATTTTTACTTGGAATCTTTATCATTATGTTTAAACTCAAATTATACTAAATAATCAAAATAACATCAGATAAAAACAATTGTAAAATCAAATAATCTAACTCAAACATTATTTGGATGAAACAGCCATTTAGGAAGTTTTAACAATTTTTTCAGCAATGTTTTCCGTAATGAATAAATGGGGGTGACAACATTTGTCTATTTTAAAAGCAATGGCGACATCTCTCGTTCGAATTATCATTGTTAAAAATATATTCGAAAATGTTTGTATGTTGGAAAACATATACAACAATGGATGCGCCAAGCACTGCTTTGGTTCAAATGCTGAAAAACAATGTAGATAAAAGTCTAAGATTTTCGTCGTTGTGGCAATCAGCCGTTTAGCTTAATGGCTAAAATATTAGGGCCCGAATCCCGAAGACGTAGGTTCGATTCCCATTGCGGCCAAAAACTTTTCGTACTTCTTTCTCCAATTTTTAATCATTTCTTGTCTATCAATGTGGTGATGTTCAACTAACAGGACGCAAGGACGCTTCTGCAGAACCGTCTTTGTGTCCCTGAATGGACCTAATGATTACCACGGCCTCTTATAGTATCAGCCTGCAGAAGAAGCATTTATAATTTTCCTTTCCTTCCAGTAAGTTAGGTAACAAAATGTCCATCAACTCTCAAATGCTAGCAACGCACCATCAACCATACTTATGTTCCCAATGTCCATGACTATCGCTTACCATCAGTTGAATCGATTTCTTTGTCACGTCTATTAAATTTCTGATAACTTCGCTATACAACGCTAACGGCCGGTTTCTGAAACACTGATCATCGTAGATGTCAACTAATCAGCTGTCAAATGGTTTTCAAATTTCATTTTAGTTGCCAAAAGGATGGTTAAACTCTTTGGATTGATCATTAGAAGATCATTCTGGTCAATTCAGAGAATTTTACCGTACTTTTGGCAACTAAAATGAGATTTAAATAGCCATTTGACGGCTGATTAGTTTACATCTACGATGATCAGTGTTTCAGAAACCGGCCGTTAGTATAGTAATTGAAACAAAAAAACTTCAGTGTATCTTTTTTGGATTATCCATACAGATTATTTACTTTCACCGGCAACGTGGCCGGTGTGTTCTCAGAAACGCCAAGGAGTAAATATCCTATATCGTCAATAGGATATTAAATTCCAAATGGGGATACTTTTAGAGTTCGACACAAATCAGTTCGAAAACACCTCAAATATCTAGTCTAATCGCATAGACCGTTCCGTGTCGAACGCCATCCGTACTAGACGTTGGGCAAGACGTCTCGAGCGTCGTGGGTGATTCAGTCCCGTTCGAGGAAGTAACCGTCCTCGCTTGCTACGTACCCCATCTTATTTATCTACTCACTTTCAATATCTCTCTTCTATTGTATAAATGAGTTGTTGTTCGTTAGTCTCGCTAAAACTCGAGAACGGCTGGACTGATTTGGCCAGTTTTGGTTTTCAAATATTTGTAGCTGTCCAGGGAATGCTTAAACGATGAGAAATAATGGAAAAATTGCATAGAAAATCGAAATAGCAACAATTTTATTTTCCCATACAAACTGTTCCTACCTGTCAAACATTTTATGCGTGCGACCCCCAAATTCTTTTTCTGTATTCAGGGAATCTTAACACATAGAAAAAGAATTTTCCAATTTTTAACCGTGGTCCACCGAAATTTTTTTTTCTACATTACAAAATTCACTAAAAATCATTTATATGGCAAAACAACGATTGTCGGGTCAGCTAGTAAACAATAAAGATCTATGATTGACCCATAATGTGCTTAATGTGAACTATGTCCTCATCGTTCAGACTTCTTACATTCTTTTTAATATTCGTTGTGTAATTATATGTGTAAATAATGTGTAATTCATCGGCAATATTCGTTGTCATCATCACTTCCTCCCCCGCCATTGGAGTACGACACGCGGAAAACCGCCTCTTTATCGGGCCTACGCTCCGTCTTTATATAGCGAAAAATATCTCTGCATTAAAACCAGCGACTCGACCACTTCCTATTTACACGAATCGAGGCGGTTTGCATTCCACGTGATAACAGAACGTTGGCACCGGCCGTCGATAGACGCGAAGTGTTATTAATTGAGCTGTTCTATTCGTCTGCTCATGATACCGGCAATCCTTTTGCGTTTATTTCTTTGTTTGTTCTATTAAGCCAGCGTAAAGTTTTTTTTT